GAATCAAACCACTGGCTGTGAGCAGTATCAAACTGCTGATGGTGAACTTGAGCATGGATCAGTAAACTCTGAACTTCTGTTTTGATTTGAAATAGAAAGGAGCAGATTGGTATATTTATATGAAAAAATAGAAAGGAGCAGATTGAGCATGGATCAGTAAAAACTGATATATTTATATTAATTACTCTGCATTTTTTGATAAATTAATTACACTGCATTCTGCAATACAAATTAGTTAACCTTAAACAGGGGGTGAATCATGAGTTTGGAAATCAGTACGATTATGGGTCAATACTTCCCGTGCTCTTGCACTTCTATGCTGCAAACGCTGGTGAAGTGCCTCTGACATCTGATTGAAGAATTCAGCATCCCATCTGTTAATTAATAAAGGATCTTCTGCATAGCAGATATATATGGACGTAACAGCACTTTCCACCACCACCATTGAAAGTCCCACCTGAAAAGTAAATGGATTGAATTTGTTCCATCAATTAAGATCTTACAAACAAACCAAGAGCCAATTCAGAGGACCACATAATGCTTTTCCTAGATTATACTTGGTTACGTACTATAATGAAATCAAATGGCACAATATTTCGGTTCTCTCTTAACTGATCCATGTTAGTCATATCAGAAATTAATGTGATTTAACATTCCAACTAAACTAGCATGGAATTAGTTATCTATTGCAAATAGTCAACAAATGCTCATCCTACCACCCCAATTAATTATTTTAAGAAACTGGAAAGATTTACTACCAGGAACTACATTGTGATGAGGGGGCAGTAATCATTATGCCTAACACAGCTCAACAGCCGTGAAGTTAACCTTAACTACTGGGAAGCTTGTTCAGTGCCATTGAAGTGAAAGGCTAGATTTGCATATTAACTGTTTGAAATTTTAAATTTTAACCAGTATAAATGGATATAGATTTTTTTTTAGAAGGCCAAATGGATATAGATTAGGTAGACACTTCCCATCCTTAAAAAATAGCACACCTTGAATGTTACATAAAGTTTCACACCTTAACAGGACAATTATCAAATCACACTAGATCCCTGAGGACATTCTTGGACATTCAATTACATTTCAAAGTTACTTAGATTCTCAGAACTCATTGGATGAAAGAGAGGCTACATTTAATTTCTTTAGCCATGTAAACAAATGAAGGATCAAATAGTTCTGAAGTCCCGGAGAAACTGATTGTTTAGAAGTTCCAAGCAACATCATCAAATCGTCAATATAAAGATAAAAAGTAAAACAAAACCAACAAAGAAGCAAAGCAGGTCATAAAAACGAGAACCAAAGGTAAAACACCACTCAAGATGGAGGATGAAAAAGTTTAATGAAGTTACCAAGATCATCCCCATTAACATAGCTGTGGAGCCAACCATAATCACCCTGTCACTTGATTTAAACCATGCCCAAGTTCCTGAACAGGTTCCAGTAATAAGCCCGCCCAGGATGGTGCCCATCAATAGAACAGCTCCTGAACAATCATAGGCAATAAGTGCCTCAACACCAGTCGACTGGAATAACTCCCAGGCATCCCTTGCTGAACGATTGAAGCTTTTTCCATAAACTGCTATCTGGAGAAGTAACAACAGTAAGGTTTCAGAACATGTTATTGATCACAAGAGAGTAGGAATTGGTAATTTTCAATGTTATAGAAATAAATCACAATGACTTTATAGAAAGAATTAAGCTTTAGAAAGAGAAATCCATATGAAGAATCTATTGTCCCATGCTTCTTAGCCTGAAGAATCAGTCAATATCTTATCAGTTCCTTGCAATAACATAAAAAGCAACAGATTAGTTATGCTAGGTGAAAATGGATCTAAGGTCAAACTGACTATGGATTACCTTGATACTTAGTCATGAATGGAATTCTAAGACAAGGATGTGAATGGAACTTCAGATTACAATGCATAATGAAAAGCAAATATGTTAGTTGATGATTATGTTAAACAAGAAAGGAAATGTTCTTATGATATTTCCAAGTATCATGACAAATGATACACTAACCAAAAAAACCCTAGTTGCCGACTTATCTGAAAAAGAGAACAATCAGTTTCAAGTAGTTTTTGTATGCCAGGATATCAATTATAAGTTGTAAACCAAATTAGAACCAGTGATTCCATTAACAATCTTGAGGGCAATGAAGTTGTGCATTTACCTACAACTTATACCCTTTTTTATTACTGATGCAAACGTTGTTGCTACCTATTACTAAAAGTAAATAAATAATCTTGTCAGCATCTTGAAAGGAAAACTAAATGATGAAATAAGATAGCTACCTGGACATATGCATATTTATTAAAAAAGCGAACTAGTGTCTCCACAAGATGAAACAAAAAGTCCACACAGCAAAGCAAACACTCATTATTGCCAATCTTTGATCGCAATCCCCTGATCTAAAACATTTTATGATAAAATTCAGAAATAAATTAGAGCTAGAATAAGCAAAAGAACATTGTTAGCAAAGTACAATTTTAAACATCAGTTAAGCAGAAAAATAACTTAAAATGCTCTATGGTTCTCTCAAACCTACCTCCCATCGCAATGTTCGAATAGCAGCTGTAAACAGTGATCCATAGCAGATGCTTCCGAATGAAGTTGTCATAGCATGCTTCAAAGACTTTGCCAAGGGCTTGGGAGGCATTGATGCTGCTTCTCGGCCACCATGGATGAGAACAAGAAAGAATATTCCAGATACAATCACATGAACTGTATTACAGAGAACAGCACCTGTCCAGAATAAACTCACAGAAAGAACCTGGATGTACAAATAGCATTTTTTGGCATTAGTACTTGGCCCATGCTCTAAAAGGTACCTCATTACTAGTATCGTTCCAATAATGATTAGATGGAACGTAGAACAAAACTTGCCAGCTCACCACAAGGAGCCACCGGCGTCCACCATCACCCATGCTTGAAGCAACAACCCCAGCTGCTCCAAAGGACCAGATTACCATCCATAATAGCATGATAACCATAAACGCATAAGCTACTCTCATAACTTCTGGAAGGCTCCATGCCATTTTTACAGCTTTTTGCAACACCAGAAGGGAGAAGGGAAGTCTATGGAAAGTCAGAAAAAAATGTTCATACGTAATTACTTATTCAAAGTCTATATAAAATAAAATTAAATGGTAGGCAAGATTCTTTCAAAATTCAAATTACTGTGCCACTATTAAGAATTATTAAAAAAATAAATACTCTTCCAAATACATGAAGGAATAATGAGATTTCCAACATGAGGGACCCAGAATATGCATCATCCAATTGTGTGATTAAAATACTGCATAAATGCATATCTCCATTTATCTTCCCTTTTCATTCCTATCATACATAAAATTATGGAGAGCACCAATAGGATAGAATACTTATGAATCTATAAAATATTAGGTACAGGAGATTTATTCATCAACGGTTATATGGGAGAAGTAGTTGTATCACTATAAAAACATTTTCTTGCAGACTTGAATACACTAACATCACCTTTTGATTAAGAAATACCATGAATTTTCAGCCATAAAATATGGTTGATTTGGGATAAGGCTTGTTGAATCTTCTACCTCTTTCACTAGGGTTTTCCTTAGGTAAGGAAATATACCCAATTCATAAGTTGAAAATGGAGTTTGATTCTTAAAGTATCAACTTGTCATTTTTTCATATTTTTTTCTAATTAGTTTGTGCAAACACTTTAACAATGGATATGGTACTGAACAGGATGGAATGGTGAAACAGGATGCATGTAGTTTGTGCAACACTTATTTGTATATTTAACAGACTGGAGCTTTTAGAACACTTGTCTTCTCCCATAGTGTTGCAATTGCTTGTTGGAAGTTGAGTCCTTAAGTTAGCTATGGAGAAACATTCAGTAGCTCCAGTACTACTATAGGTATGGTAATGCTTAACTAAATTGAGACTTTGGTAAATAATTTTTACAAATTGAACCATAGATATTCTAAACTCAATGTAAGAGATATTCTAGCCCCCCCGCCCCCCGCCCCCCCCCCAAAAAAAAAAGAAAGAAAGAAAGCAGCTTGAGAGGATGCCTCTAAGCATAAAAAATGTTTGTTTTCCAAAGAAAACAAAAATCCTCCGTTTATCAAATTGGACTGATTCAATCTGGCTGTCAAATAAGCTTAACTTTGAATTGGCCATCTGTTGAATCCCCAAGTCTACATTGTCCGGTTGTCCCCATATCCCATTTTGTACTGGAATTCCTGGTAAACATATTTAGCCATCCAAAGTCTAAACTTTTAATTAGTACTGCCATGGGAAAAAGAGATTTTTCTCGAGACAGTAGTGTTAGAGAATAAATACCTATTGAGGTACCCCACCTAAAAGCTTAGGTTGAATGGTTCTTCAAGATGGTATCAGAACCTATTTGACCAAGTGGTCTAGTGTTCAATTTTTGTTGCCCCCATTTTAATTAATTAAGTTTCAGCATAAGGTATGTGTAGGCCTGTGCTTGTCCACACTTCAAGCCTGATGGGCTTTCGCATGAGGCGACGTGTTATAGAATAAATACATATTCAGGTACTTCTCTTAAATGCCCCCTAAAAGCTTAATCTGTTAATAGAGGTACCTGAATAGGTATTTATCTTTAACATGCCTCTGCATGTGAAAGCCTATCGGGCTTGGAGTGTGAACAAGCAAGGCCTACCCATACCTTGTGCTGGAATTTAATTAATTATAATGGGGACAATGAGAATCTAACAGGCTTTGATACCATCTCAAAGAATCATTCAACCTAAAAGCTTAAGCTGTTGGGTGAGGTACCTCAATAGGTATTTATTTTCTAACAAGTAGCAAGGGACTCTAAGTTGTAATTTGTTCCATGGATAGAAGGTAGAAAGGTAAACATGTGAGACCTAAACAGGCTTTGATACCATCTCAAAGAATCATTCAACCTAAAAGCTTAAGCTGTTAGGTGAGGTACCTCAATAGATATTTATTCTCTAACAAGTAGCAAGGGATTTTAAGTTGTAATTTGTTCCATGGATAGAAGGTAGAAAGGTAAACATGTGGGGCCCAAACAAGCTCTGATACCATCTCAAAGAATCATTCTAACTAAAAGCTTAGGTGAGGTACCTCAATAGGTATTTATTCTCTAACAAGTAGCAAGGGATTTTAAGTTGTAATTTGCTCCATGGATAGAAGGTAGATAGGTAAACATGTGGGGCCCAAACAAACCATGGTTCCATGTGGAAGATTCCTGGGTCGTTTGAGTTGTCTAAGTGACTGGCCTAGCAGATCTGTGTAAAGAATAATCTTAATTGAGGCATATTCTTGCAACTTTTTGCTTCTTTTTCATTTTACAGAAATTTCCACAAATGTGAAATAATTGATGTATCTTGCAGGTGATATTATTTCCATTCACAAGAAATGACTTGGATTATGCTATATCCATTCTCTTGAAGTAACCTTTTGTGATGCTGATATTAATTTTCAAAACTAGGCACTAAACCCATTGCCGGAATTTCCTAGAAAGACTTGCATATAGTATATACCATGATAAGTCAGAACTAATCTACCTTAGGTTTCATGGGTTCTGTAAGCCTATTGAGTTCAACAGTTCAAACAACTTTTGTTTGTCTGAAAACCGTACAGCAGTAAGCAGGAAATAGAAGTGCGTAGATTCCCCTAAATAGAATATGTTGTTTTATATAATGTGGATGAGGAAGGCTAAAGCTCTGGAGTCATACCTGTCTATAACCGATACCACATACAAAAACTGCAGACTCGCGGCAATAGCAAAGGCAATACCCCAGAAGACCTGATCGCCCCAGAAACACAAGACGCTTATCACAGCTAGATACGTAGTCAAGATGTGAACCGACACCTTCATCATCTGATTCGCCCGAGACCCAAGTAAGGACAGCCAAATCCATCCGAGAATTGTACCAACTCCGCCGGCGACAGCGTACAAGGGCCAGTAAGTCTCGGTCAATCCGGCCTGATTCTCAAGTATCCTGTTTGTGTACTTGTCAATATTAAGCCTATCTGCTTTCTTAAACCTATTGAGTCCCAGAATCGCAAGAAGGAATCCCAAGCCCACCAAATGCACAGTGAATATTCCTAACCAGAAAACATCCCTCCAGTGCCTCGACGGTTCAGGGGTCCTTCCGTGGGACAACGTTTGGCTCCCATCATCACTTATCGGGCTCCGCCCACCATTCTGAAATTAAAAGGATACCCCTTATTGTTATTATCTTTCCTTTTTTTTTTTTGAATCTTCATGTTTTCTATCAATCTATCTTGAATCAAAATTTCATTTTTTTTAGCAGAACAGTATAAACATATTAGCTTTAGTGGTTTTTTGTAGTTAAATTGAAGATGGGTAACGTGTCAAGGGAGGAGAGAGAGAGAGGGTAGTGATTGAAAGGATTAGGATTAGAGAGGAAAAGAGAAAAGGAAGGATTACCTGCTGAGTGGCAGGGATGGAAGCGAAATCGGCATCGGAAGAGGAGGCGCTTTGAGCGTCACTCATGGCGTGTCTGATCTAGTGGAACGTCCTAGTCCAGGGAGAAGAGGCATGGTTTCACGGATTGGCCTGACAGATTGATGGAGATGCAAGAGGGTCAAGGGAGGCTATAACGAAACTGTAACTAAAATCCTCTTTCTTTCAAACGGCAAAGACAGGATTAATGAGCAGAGAGAGTGGACCATAAATTATAAGTCTGTGATAAAGACCTCCTGTATTATGACTGTGAGATAAGCACCTCTTTTCGTTAATTTTTCGTTGAAATATTTTTTAATCCCTATATTACCTTTATAATAATTAGAAGAAAAACACTGTTCATTTTTTTCAATATTACGATACACGAACAATGCAGATGCAGACATTATTATTTCTTTCTCTTTCCCCCGATCTCTCTTCCTCCACAAAAACCGTCTTCTTTGCATCAACCGATAAGTACTGCTACATGATAATTGATTGCAGATGTTTTACTGAGAAAGATAAATAAAATATTCCCCTTACTCATGTGAATTAATTTTAATTAATATTTGAAATTATTTAATAAAATAAATAAATTAAAAAAATAAAAAGGGGATCAGGACTCAGGAGGAGTACAGGTGCATGGCGAGGCGGATTAGAGTTTTGACCCATCAGACTCTTCAGAAAACATTGACTAGGGGATGCGCAGGTTAAACTGTACTATTTCAAAGCTGCTCGGAGGCGTTATTGATCTCAACACCGTCACCGACGACGATGGCGATGCTTCGGCGGTGGTCGAGTGTGTTGATAATTGATGCAGGCGTTATTCTTACCTACACAACACTAACACAGTCTACAGCTTTCCTCCGTCCACGTCCAACTATATTTATAATTGATGAAGGGAGATGAGATGGATAATTGATAGACAAATTAAGAGTTCCCCTCTTCCCCAGTCCCCCCACCCACTCTCTCTCATGGCTTCTTCTTCTTTCTCCTTTTCTCAGTATCCGCCGTTTGGATTCTCCGGCAAATACTACCATGTGGCGGATGGAGGTGGATGCGTGAGGCAGAGTAGTTTCTTTGAGGGCAAACCTGTTCTTAATCAGGGACTTGGCTACTCCGTTATTTTGGGTTTTGGGGCTTTCTTTGCCGTCTTTACTTCTTTCTTGTATCTCTCTCTCCCCGGTAATTTGCTTCTGCACTACATCACTTGTGCGGGGCCGTTTATATCGTTGCCGGAGAAAGGGAGTGTTGTCATGTACTTGCCTCAGGGGCACCTGGACCGAAAATGACTGCTGGTAATTGCTTGCAGATGTTTCTCTCTTCCCCTTCCCCTTTCCTCTCTCTCTCTCTGGTATGTCGCAGCTTCTCTACTGCAAAATCTGGATTTAGCCGAGTGTGGAGAGAGAGGGATCGAGAGCGACTCATTTTCCAGAGAAAAAGCTTAACCCACCGATGATCAAATCGGAAAGACGGTGGCAATAATTGTTTGAGTACTGGCAGCGCTCGATGAAAAGAAGAAAGGGAAGATGATAAATGGGTTTCCTTCGTCCTTTTATTTGGAGAATTGGGAGATAAAGAACGAGGGAGGACGGTGAGAGAGGGGAAAAAAAGTAAAAACAATAGGTTTTAAGAAAAAAATTAGTAGAGTAGTTTAATAATGTAAGGCATTCCGTCAAGAGAGGTCTTTGTCTCACAATCATAATACAGGATGTTTTTGTCGCAAAATAAAGTACACAGACCCAAAAAAAAATACAGGGGGTCTTTGTAATTTATCCCAAAAAATTGTAAGATAGTCGGAGGTGAATATGCTTGACAAGCACAACGCACATGCATTTACAACAAAATGTCTCCATAATCTATATCTATTTCCTTTTCAATCATCTCTCTCTCCAACAGTCCAACTGTCACCCAATCAGTGTTTCCTTTCTATCCATCTCCACGGGTTTGGGCAGATGGCAGAGGCCCAACCCAACACTCCCCATTTGATAAATCCTGAGCAGACAATGGCCCAAATTTTCATATGGTCTGATTAGAAAGTGATCCATCTTGGTCTTCTTGGCCAGGCCAGATGATAAAGCTAGACCAACCCGGGCTCATATCAACCAAATGACATGCCCTAATAATGCCCCTATTGTCATATCAACAACTGTGAATGTTATCATCAAAGTCGTAGTCATGCATGTGAAAAGGTTTTCGAGTTTAATTTGGACTCTCCATAGGTCCCGGCCCAACCACCACAAATGTATATAGATGAAGTTAGTGATGATGGTGACAAAACTAACAATTAGCTTATACTTTAAGCTGAGCTTGGAAGGAATATAAATGTAAATATATAGAGTGCAAAATCTTATATTTTGTATGTATTTGTACTGTACATATTTGCATTTATATTCCTTCCAAATTGAGCCATACGTGTTGGTTTGGTGGCATTGTTGTTTTATAACTGAAATGTTTTTGGTTAATCAATTTATAAATTGGTGCGAGATATGTATTGTGACATCAAAGTTATTTCAGTTGGAAATTTGGACTACTAGTTGTCCAATGCAGAATTTTGAAATTACAGCCCCCGTAGTCTATTAGTAGCCCTTAATATAAATTGCATATCCACATCCTTTTCATGAATTTGGCATCAATTCATGGTCAGGATTCATCCCCTGTACCGTGGGGCCTAAAGATTTCTAAGCTGGGCTGATCAGTCATTCTCCCTTTATTTGAATTGGAATGATCATTGTTCTTTCTGGTTGAAATGTTAATTTATATGTTCACAGCACTCACATACATTTTTAAGGTATACCTTATTGCAATAGCTACAACATTTGTACACTAAATTATTTGTATTGATCAACCCAAAGTGTTTCAAATAGGAACAACTATCAATTATAAGTGAAGAGGGATGGACCCATGGATGTAATCTAACAACTTCTGATCAAAATATTTATATTGATTACCAACTATTTATTTAAAAATATAGGTGATTACATGTTATAAGGGTTAAATCTTGAACTGACAAGTGTGAGAATGTGGGTTCAAATCTAAGAGTGGCCTAGAAAATGTCAGAGGTTAGGTTTGTATTCAGTTTCTCCTCCCAAATGATCCAAGATAACTAATAACGTGAACTATGGCCTTTTTCTTTACTCGTTGGTTAAAGATGTTAGCATCTTGAATTATAAAAACAAGAAACCATTTCCATATGGTGTTTTCCTAAGGCTATGTTTGGTTTTAATAGGTTTCCTTACCTTGCCCTTCCTTTCTCTACTTTTTCCTTCAAACCAAACACAACCTAAATTCTCCTTAGAATATTCTCTTTTATTGTGATTCTCAAGTAAAATGGTGTATATAATGAAGAGTGTCCAAGTTGAAAAGTACAAGAAACTTATATACAAGAGTGGCTCATAGTCTGTTAGCTTAAATTTTTGGGTTGTATGTGGTGTTCATTTTTTGTTTGTCCATATGCAAGTCCTACACATCTGTAGATATACAAGCTAGCCCCTGGTTTTGATGACTCTCCTCAATGCACAACACCTTTGAAGCTTCCATTAAGGCCCTGTTTGCTTTTCGGTAAATTATTTACCCGGGTAAATGCAATTACCTAGGTAAGTTTTCTCGCAAAACACTTACCTGATTAAGTGCATTTATCCATGTTCTTTATTTCTCAGGTAAATAAAATAATAACCATTTTAGTCATAAAAGTCCATTATTAAAAGGAGCATTTTTGTTCTATTCAAGCGTTAGCAACTTTCCTCTTAGGTGAAAAAATTATTTACCCACTTAGGAAATGGGTATCACTTTCCTTGGTAAGTAGTACCCAGAAAAATAAACTTTCCCTGGTCCCTACATTAATCTGAAAAATGAACATGGGATTCTTGGTCAATGAGAACCAAAATCTCATTGACCAACTTTCCCCCCTCTCAAAATCCAAAAAAAGAACTCCCTCAAGTCTTACTATTAAAAAAGAATTGTTTCCTGTATATATAATTAATTGATTAGGATAGATCTCTTTTATTTCATCCTGACTGACATAGCCATTTGATTTTCTTAAGTAGAACTTGCAGTGGATAAATCGAAATTAAGGGTCACTAATTCCACCTTTTCTAAATGACTTTTTATGGATAGAATCAATGAACCAAGACCAGCTTGGCCCAACCAACTTTGACATTTGGACTGAGTTACATTGAGCCGTGGAAATCGTATCAGAAATAAGCAAAAATAAAAAAAAAAAAACGGACAAAGTTAAAGAAATAAGGCCAATTGTCATTTTATTTAACTAGAAAGTTTGACTGCACATCTCATGGCACTGAATTGCATAGGAAATTTCCTGCACTTCTCTCTCATTAGATTTAAAAGCGGTCAAATCCAAACTAAATTCAAAATCAGAATATAAAAGTTCAATGTAGATTTTTTATTTTCACTGCAGAGTTATAAACATTTAAAATGTCAAAAACCTCATTCTACAGATTAATGTCCATCCGTGAATTAGCATCAATTCCAAACTAGTATTCACCCCAACAATTCTGACCCTGGCCTAAACCATCATTCTCCTCCAGTAGATAAATATTTTCCGTCTAAATAACATTTTTCCATATTAAACTACTATGTATATGAAAACATAATATAGCGGGCATCTTTTAACACTAGCCTGGGACTCTTCTAGTTTACATATAAGTACAAGAGTTGGCCTTTTGGGAGACAAAGCATGCCAAGGGGCTCCATACACATTGGAAGAGTGTGAGGAGAACAATATAAATAAAGCCAACCATCTCTACACTTAATACAAAGCTAGGAAGTAAAATTGGAGCAAAACAAATAACTTTTGTTGAAGAGCATAGTTAGAAAACTAATTATATATGCCAAAATTAAGATATGGAAATGTTTGTATAGAATTTGGTTATAAAAATAAAAAAAAAAATGTGACAAAAATTTGGTCAAATATGTGGCATGGTTATAAATTAAAATATGTTTGTTGGCAAAAAGAACGAAAATATGTTTAATATATTATCTTTAAAAAAACTTGGCATATCTTACTTGTAAATGTATGTATAATCTATTAAAAATATGCATGTTTAAAAATGTAATAATATTTATATATCATAAAACATATTTTAAAAATAATATATTATCATTTTTTTGAAAATCCATATTATTAACATATTATACTTTGTTATGAGAAGTTTCAAATATCCCTCCATATATTTGAATAACTCTGGATCTAATACTATTTTGGTCAATAATTCATAAATGCATATAATACATACTATATGCATATGTTTCATATATGCCGGTTATGCTGAGTAGACAGAACATAGCACATGCCTTAATATAGTTTTACAAGTAAGACCACCCAACAACCATGGAGATCCGAGCTATCATTTTTTGTCAACGAATGAGGTTAATTAATTACTTAATTAGTTTACTCCCCCCTCCCCAACCCAATTTTTACTGTTATAGCTGCCTAGCTGGGTCCATTTTGCAAGGAAGACTTTTTCTTTTGCTCCCTTAAAGCACAATGGACAGTCCCAATTGCAGCTGCAGCCTCACCAGTGATGGAACCTCCAAGGTCAAACCATGGGGTGTTTATGCCATCTCTCTCTCAGCATAAAAGGCTGTTATGTTGAATTTGGATTAGTTGAACGTTTTAGCTGTTTAGCAAGCTGTCCAATTAATGATAAGGTTTTACGTCACTAATAAATTCATGGGCTCCATTGTAAAAGATGTGGGCCCCATATATTTAATACTGGCGTAGAACTTTATAATTGGTTCCACAGTTTGATGAACAATTAAAACGTACAGCTAAACCTTGCTCTGTTATGTTGCTTATGGGTCAGAGAAAACCATCTACAGTACCAATGAGAAGAAGTGATCAATTGCAACTTGATGATAGAGTCAGGATAGGCAAAAAAAAAAGGCATAAATTTGAATTGTGAGAAATAATTGGAGGACCCATATATAATTCAACAATGGATGTAGCACCGATCAAAGTGGAATTTCAGAACAGGATTCATGTAGACAAGGCTTTACTTGAGTTGAGTAGGTTGCTTATGGGGGGTTGTTGGTATGTTTCATTCAAGAAAAGCAACTTGGGTAAGCTTTTGCTCTTTGTGCTTCTTAAAGCATAACGGCAACATATTAAAAAGGTGCTCTTCTCAAGATCTTCTATAGTAAAAACAATGTGAGTTGCAAAGTGGCTTTAAGAAAGGCAACTTTGTTTTGTTTCAAGGAAGTCGAAAGAAAAAACTCTGTGCTATGTGAAGGTGTTTCTTATGTGAATACCCAACTGATCTCAGAAGCAAAATCTTCTTTCTTTTTTGATCCCAGAAGCACAAGAGTACTTTCCAAATGAACTAGATAAATACCATTACCAGTTGTTAATTGCAACAAAACATCCTTACATCTCCAAAATGTCTCAAAGACTCAGCTAAAACAAAACAAACCGTTATATAGAGTTCCCAGCCACCTACTTTCCAATCTGGGTTTCATGCATATATGGTATGACATGCATCTTCCACCTTTCCCCAATGTTTTTGTTTTCCCTTCGTTTTTGCTTTTCTGTTGTTTTCTTAGTGGTGATGGTCAATCGACTCTTGCTCCTCCAAGTGGGTTTTGAGATTTTATACACCATATCTGAGACTGAAGGGTACCTGTGAACAATGCTAAACCCAATCGACTTCCCAGAGAAGGTTGACATTTGCTTCAAATGTTCAGGGTCCAAGCATACTTATATTGCTACCACTGATCATATAAAAATTGTTCACTTATTTGAGTAGTTCAATATATATATAAAATAAAAGAGAAAAATGTTTGAAGGAAAGAAAGTGAATGTGCAGGCACCATGAGAAATGTCCCAATAGTATTGGCCAAATTACAGATTTTAATGATCTCACTCCATGCTCATTATACTTGGCGCTGTGATGATTAGAGTTACCGTTTCCCATTACAAGAATCCACTAAACCAGTATTGGACAGCTGATGACTAAACATTGAGACGAGGTCCCCCAAACACTCCAACCAGTCTGAGTAGCTGATGTATGATGAGCAACACAACTTTGTCTTACAGTGATCTTCGTTGTAAGATTTCTGCCCTTTGCAATTCCTTCTCGAGGGATTTTAATCATTTTGATGCCCTTTTCTGTTGGTCATTCAAAGAGCTTCATTTCAATTACTATCACCATCATCATTATCTATGACTTATCTCAACTTTTATATATATGCATATATAAGTGTTTTAATTATTTCTTATTACTTCTACTCAGAGTTTAAAGTATCGACACGTATCAGCCCTTATCGATCGATACGTATCATCTGGGACCCACCGATGTGCCCCTATAGTGAGTATCGGGGGTCTGACCGGTTTCTACCCCCTAAACCGGCCCCTGAACTGATTTCAGAAAAATAAAATAAAAAATAGTATCGATTCACCTGATACGCCCATACCAACGTATCAGGCGCATCAATATTTTGAAACTTGCTTCTACCCATGTTCTTTTTTAGCCCATAAGACTCTTCTAGCCCTTCAATGTTTAATAAATCACTTCTTCTAAATAACGTGGTCTTCCCGAGCAATTTCACATTTTCGCCCTTTTCATTTTTCTGAATATATTTTTTCACTACCCAACACTTTGCTCTAATTCCTTGATATATTCCTTAATCGCGCTTTCTTGAACCAAAGGTACTGAAAATGATGACATTGAGTTATTTCTTTGGTCTCTTCATTTATATTACCGGTGAAATACAAACCAATCATCAATTTAGTTCAACCAATTTTCTAGTTACCAAACGGCCCCTACAAAAGGTGCCTTTTTTATGGACTATGGGTCCCACCTTGTCTGTAGGGCGAAGAAAGCTGAAACTGCATGGACATTTTTATAAACATTAAGGCGCGTGCAGGTTTCCTCCTCTTCCCCGGTTCTGCTCAACCATGTTTATTCCTGTTGCTCCATTTCCGCCAGCCAACGCTGTTCGTTTCCCCTACAGCGGCTACTGCATCTGCTCCGGTCTGGTCTCTTCTGCCAGAATGACTCGCCTTAAGGCCTTAGCTTCGTTGAGCCGAAGCGCAGCATCAGAGCATTCAAGCACTTCCACAACCACGCCGCAGGTGGAACCCAAGCCCAAGCCGTGGCTGCTCGTCGGACTCGGAAACCCTGGAAAGAAGTATCAAGGCACCAGACACAACGTATGCCCCTCTCTCTCTCTCTCTCTGTATGTTTATACTTATTTTGGAGTTTTACGTGCTCTGATTTCATGACTTTCTTCCCTTTTCATAGAGAGCAAAGTTCAAGCTATTTGACAAATGAAATTCAGGAACAGGATATGATTCTTTATGTTCTTAGTAACGCACATTAATATTATCCGTTGCAAGATAGGAAATAGGAATTGTAATTGGTTTAGGTGTTACTTTATAGCTACTTAGGAGAGCTTCGATTGAATCCATGTAAAAATACTATGAACTAAACAAGAAAGCAGCCTTTATTTCTGTGGAAGTCTATTCGACAATAGTCTTTTAGCTGCACAAGGAAACACCTCTGACAGGTTTATCAAGGTCAGGGTACAAGTTATTGCCAATGATTTGGGTGTGTTAGTTTTGATGCAGTGACACTATGGCCTAGCATTCTTGTTAATTGTTACATGATATGCTCCAACCAATATGAACTGGTTACGTGATTGTCATTTGTTTGATAGAATTGGCATCCAGTGATTTGGGTCCCGGGCTTCTATAGGAATTCCTTTTGATATTGAGGCTCCATTGTTGTGGTCTTTGAATTTTAAATGTGGGTACCGATTGATTGTGGGGATGGAGGACCTTGAAAATTTTCTTTTAAATTCTTATGTGGTCGTTATATGGAACTGTGGCTGTTCTTTTCTATACAGGCTTATTTGGAATACAACAAATCGATTGACTTTTCTTTTCAGTGTCAAGCTAGATTTTCCTTTTTGTCATCATCCATATGGTTTGTTGCGTTTGTCAATTTTAGGCCTGCCAAAACTTGAAGCTGACTACAGAAGAGGGTTATCTCATAAGTCATAACTAACCACCCTCTAGTATCTGGATTTCCCCATGTGGAATTTAGGACATTGAAGACAACAATGCAGTGGATTCTCAATCTTATGTGCTATAAAGGCCACATATATGGTGAAAGCATTGAAGACATTGGCACCACTAGGTCCGCCACCAGTGGATGTGTTGAGGGCAATAAAAAAGTCAGGATTAAATGAGAATGTTGTTGAGAAATCAATCTCATTTGGATGATTCCCACTAAAGATTTTACATTCAATTTCAGCAATTCCATCAATTTGATGATATCATAAAAATAAAATTACAATGATAATTTTTTTGATTCACATTGAAGAGATATATCATCACACGTGCAGGAGAACTTTTGGGAGATTATAACCATAATCTTGCAGAGATCAAGCCAAGCTGATCAATATTCATATTCTAGTAGTTTTAACACATTGAGTAATGTTCTCTATATCGTTCCAATTTTACACATTAAATGATAACTTTTTAGGAAGGTAACTACATACTGTTCTGAACATTGCCCAACCTAATTTAGAGCCCTGGTGACAGTGTAAACAGTTTAAATTGTTTAGATCTCTCTGTTCAACAAAGTTATCAAGGCCAAGTTTCAAAGTATCAATACGCTTCTGTGTATCGGCAGAGGCGTAGCGGTACTTAAACACATGCATAAACATGTTTTTTTTGTTTTTTTTTCAAAATTTGGTTTTTGGGGAGTTAAGTACATGTATTTTTCATTAAAAGAGAGTGGGATCCCGAAACACCTGTAAACAGGCGTATCGGGACCCAAAAGATACAATATGATACACCTGATACGGGGTGTATCATATTGAAATTTTGAACCTTGGTCAAGGCATCATCTAGGTGACTAGGTGCCTACCTAAAAGGCCATTACCCAACATTGGTCCCAGCTATCTGGGGTCTTGGGATGGGTGGACTGGATACGGTCCTAACTCCTAATCTTTGGCAATTTTACCATTACACCAAGTAATGACCCTTGACTAGGTGCCTGCCTAGGCAACAGAAAAGGACAAAGTGGGTGCTTTATTGTAATATCATTCATATTGCTAAGTCTTACAAATGTGTATGTTAATACATTCTATTATATACTATATTTATCATTTGCACTTTAAAGTTTTACACTTTTACTATTGAAATTTAAAAGATCCAAGGGTTTTGAGAAAAGAAAAAGAAAGAAAAATAGAAATGTAAAGTGGTTTCTTTCTTTCTTTTTTGTATTTCTATTCTCTCTCTTTCTCTCTCTTATATTAAATAAAAAATTGATCAACCCTTTTGTCTCTAATTTGATATGAAATCGCTTTATTAAATACTTATTATATTAGTTTACTTTTGAAAGTATTGAATTAATATATGTTGAAATACTATTATCCTAGATATGTTCATTTGCAATGTTTTGAGAGGAAATTGCTATTTTTTCAATTAATATGCATGCTGAATGGTATACAAAACTAAGGTACTAGGTAAAACTTAGTTTTTTATTGTCAAATTCTTCACAATGCCTAGGTGACTCACTGTCACCGAAAATCACCTAGATACCTTGTAAACCATGTTGTTTAGTTTTCTTCAATTTTATTTGGTTTCAGTTTCTTGAATTTGAAGGTTTATCATATTTGGTTCAAATCCTTCTTTAATGTTCTTCAAGCCTTAGGATTGTTTTATTTCTTTTGATCAGTAGTGTTTAAGTTACTCTCTATGTCATTTCTTATTGATTTTGGTCCTAACAAGAGCGTAATGGAAATGGTTCAGATTGGTCAATTTTTAGGAAGTTTTTACTGAATCCAGTTCAACATTGACTAATATTCAAGTACTTTGTGATTGCTTAGCAATCAGTTAGTCAATTGCGCAAACCTCATGGCTCCATATTACATAGCTTTCCAGTCTAAGTGACCTATAAATATGGCAAAATACTGTGATTGAAAAAAAAGTTGTCAATTTAAATCCTATAACTCCGGTGCTTCTGCACAATGCTTGTGGTGATTAGGGGTGTCTTATGCCATCTAATACATGATAACAACTCACAAGATAGATGCAATGCGGATTGTTCTGACAGAGGTTAGATCTCAGCTCTTTTCCTTGAATCTCATCTCCAAGTTCTTGAGCTCAAAAACACTGTACTTTTTGTTTAATTTCTAATGTATTATGGTATTTGGGCGGCTTATATTCAACCATCCTTTTGTGGCCAACCACCCTACTCCAAGTGCTAACCAACAGCCCTTTCTTGGACCCATTGAAAATTTTGATAACCATATACCAGTACCAGGGTGATTATTATGTCAGATACTTCAACTTTTGGTGTAAAATTCCATATCCAAAAATTTATCCAGCCTTGTCCTTGTTGTATCTGGGTAGCATGTATTGAATCCCTAGTTGTCAACCCTAATTTCAAGCAGTTAAGATCACTTAAATATCACTCTATTTCAACCCTTAGCTGCTGCGCTCTAAAATTCAGAAAGTAAACATTTTTAGTTGAACTTTTCTTACAACTTACATCACTAACAATTAGACATACCATTTTATGAATTTGCAGTGGTTTTACTCATAAACATGGTTCAACCATCATAGATACTGGTATATTCATCAATTTTTTATGCTATTAGATGTTGTACTAAATTTCTATCAATGGTAAAACATAGATGTCATGTTCATTTCCAGTCTTATTGTCTCTCTTAAGGAAATTTTATTTTCTATTGAGTGAACTGCATGGTCAAGGACATTGCAGTTGATGATAATGATTTTGGTACTTTGTTTAAATGCTTATCTGGATGCATTGCTTACAAATTTTCTGCTTTTTGCAGGATGATTTTTTTTTCTTTTATCTTCTTTTACTGCCACTGAATAGACCTTTTTCCAGGTGGGTTTTGAGATGTTAGATGCTATAGCAAAAGCAGAAGGGATATCTATAAGCAGTGTTAGCTTCAAAGCTCTTTTTGGAAAAGGTTTGCCTGTGCCAGTAAATAATTAGATTGTAAAAGACTTCATGCTGCTCTTAATGTTACTTAAGAAAACAGCATCAAAGTGAGCCAATGGGCATTCTCAGATTGTTACACTTGTTAATTATTGAAGAAATTGTTCTCCATATCTGCTACTATATTACGCATGTCTTTTGATACAATATATGCGGTGGTCTAATTTCTGCTTATCACTTCCATTAGGAATTGTCATGCTATGCACTTAAATTTTGGCTTTTTCCAGGATTTTTTTTTTTTACTTGTTAGCAATTGGATAGGTCCTTGATTGTGGCTTTCGGCAAGAAAGTTTTTGCAGAAATTTCTTTTTTATACTCTCTTTTATATTCATTAGAAAATATGCATAGCTATGTTTTTCTCATACAGAGGACCAAGATGTGTAGTATTTTGGCACTTGGACAACAAGTTGGTAAATATTTTGATATCTTATGGGGATTGGTAAATATTTTGATATCTTATGGGGATCACATACAAAGAATTTCCAATGCATGCCATTCCAATAATCCTTTATGGATATTTTGATATTTTGATATCTTATGGGGATCACATGAGCTGGGAAATAAAGTTGGGAGTTCTCTGTCATGTATGCCTTTGAAAATTCCTTTGGAATGTAATAAGCTAATTGAGAGAAATAAAAGAATTATAATCTGGCCTTTCCTAGCATCTAGGTAGTTTTAGGAAGAAAAGAAGTATGGCGGAAAAAAAAATTAGAAGTTGGAAACCCTTTGGCCTTTTTTTTCTTGTTATTGTTTTGTATGTGAAGGAAGGGTGAGGCATGAAGTTTTAGATCGTGTTCCCCTTCCTCTTTAATGCTATATTGTTGCATATGAGTTGACACTATAAAAATAATTTCTAACTGCTTTAAAGAGACATCATCCCCAAGTGTTCAGACTCAGCCCCTCATTCATATGGGTTTCAATATCCTCTGACTTGATACTGACAGTCTTGCTAGGGGGAGTGACAAGAAATGATGTCTATTGGGATCTAACATGTCAACTAAATCATTTTTGTAGTTTTTCTACATGACATACATGGGATGGGAAACCCTTTGTTGGGCTAGGACTGCTATTGTACTTTTTTTATACCCTAGGGGTTTGTATTCATCCCACTTCTCTCTCTTTTTTTTTAATTAATACAAACTTTGGTTGTTAACAAACAAAAGAAAATGTCCCAACTATTTTGTATACTTATTAAGCATGCTTTACATTCATGAATTTGTCCAGCCTTGATTGGGTTGTTTCTCCATATGCAGGTCGTATAGGAAATGTCCCAGTTATGCTTGCCAAACCACAGACTTTCATGAATGCAAGTGGAGAGTCTGTAAGTAACTCATCTTGATGGACTTCTGCATATAAACTGCTTTATTTTCCCCGATTTATACTAGTTTAACTTCTGGATCCATTTCTGAAGGTTGGACCCATTGTTTCATATTACAAGATTCCACTAAGTCAAGTACTTGTGGTAATTATTACATCATTTCCTGTTTTTTCCTAAATCATTAAAAAAAAAAAACTTTTACTTCTTTCTCTCTGATACATGGATTTTATTTCCTTTTCTGCAGATATATGATGACATGGATTTGCCTTTTGCAAAATTACGTCTTCTGCCAAAAGGTGGACATGGGGGGCACAATGGGTATTTCTTTTTTCCTTTCATTCCCTTTGTTTCATTTAGCTTACTATTGTTAATAATGCAACAGTTTCCCATCCATAGTCTAAAATCCTGTTAAGAAACAACATTAGATGTTTGATCTCTCCAATTTAGTTCCACACATACTTTCTTCCTGCAAAGTGGAATATAGAGAACTATAGCACCCTCAATTTTCTAGGTTGTAATTGGTCAGGTAGGGGTGACTCTACTTTATGAGAGCCCTCTGGAATGTCCAACTTTATCCTCTGCCAGAGACTAAGCATTAAGATATTTCTTGTGGATGCTACATCCTTGAAGGTAATTTATATATTCACATTCCAAGACCAATGTAACCCTGAATTGGTTCGAGAATCAGAAGAAAGAACCACAATCATCAATAGTGGCTTCTTTTCTTTTCTTTTTAAGATATTGATGCAATCTGGTGGCATTTTATAAATCTTCTTGATCAACATTGGGTCATCCCTGATGACCTGGTGAGTTTAGTGAATACTTGGTTGGCTAGGGCTTTCGGTAAAAGAGGAAGTATTCTTTGGAACCTCGCTTCCTTTTCCATTTGCTGTTCATTGTTGAAGGAGAGGAACAACAGAATCTTTGAAGTGAAGTCCAGGGCGGAAAAAAGATCCATGGGTTGTTTCAATACTATGCACAAAGTTGCCTAAGGTGGTTATAGAAGGAACTATACAATATCTTGACTGGAGGGAAAGGATGAATTTGTAAAATTAGGAGTTTGAGTGTAGCGGCCTATTCCTTCCAAATTATGTGCTTTATTTTCTTTATACTTGCCAAAAAGGAGGTCTAAGTGAGGGGATTTCCTCATGTGCATTGATATACAAAATTTGCAATAAACAGACCACCAAAAAAGGAACTAGGAAGAGAAAAAGCTGTCACATGCAAAAATGCCACTATACCCTAATTCTTTTTAGACTATCTCCAACATGGTCAAGTCTCTAGAAATGCATCAAATTTCAGCAGAGATGGCAGCCAATGTTTCTCAAACTTCCTTGAGATGATAAGCTAGGTACCATGAGCCAATATCCACATTGGTTCTGTCTGATGGCAATTATTGAATCCCCTCCAAAACAAGAGTTGTAGACTTGTAGGTCAGTTTGTTTCCTTTGGTTTTCTTAGTTCCTTCTGAACCCAAGTTAAAGGCAATGATCACTTGGGGGACTCAACTGTAAAATTTTCTTTTCTGTCATGCATTCTTACAATCTTACCCCCGTGAATTTTGTATAATGTTTACTATGAGGGTGGGGTTCCACTTGTTGAGCATAAGCAGCTATGCTGATTTCTTCTGTCTCAATTACTTGTAGGAGCTGTGACATAATTAGTTTTTTTAGTTATTACATTAAAAACCACGCTAGTAGCCTTAAAAGTAATGGGTGTTCGTGGAACTAAGGACTGTTAAATAACTGTCTATTAAAACTGTTAATTGAAAACTAGTGTTTAATGACTGCAGATTTTAGGGAATAAAATTTTCATTCAACCCCAAGTGCACGTAATATGGGTTCTATGCATCATCGTTTCCATTGCTAGATAGTTGTTAGTGATAATGAGTCGCCATAAGCCTTTGAGAACTTATTCTTACAGGTTATAAAAGCCTCAACAAAAAATGAACCTCTAGGCACCACATCTTTACTGCACCGTGATACTGTCTCATTGTTTCTCTCCAATTCTTTTGTATAATATTTTACACCAGATAAAAGTGATCAAGGATAAACACCAAAACTTTTGCTTGATATGTGGCTAAATTGGTAGGTGTAGTTTACCATAAATAACCTGAAAGTTGATATTTGAATTTCATGAGATTCCTTTAACATCACAGCATGATATCCTTTGCCACTGTGCCTTGAGCTTATCATCTTTAATTTTTCTGATTGCAGGATGAGAAGTGTTATTGACCACTTCAGAGGGAGCCGCGATTTTCCTCGCTTGAGGATAGGTTGGTACCCATTTATTACTATCTTTATCCATTTATCATTTACCTATGTTTTTTTTTTTTTTTTGGTATTATGGTGATTCTGCCTTTCTCTAACTTTGTTAATTAAATACTTAATTATCAAAAAATAAATCTCAAGGCATCGGGCGACCTCCTGGAAAGATGGATACTGTTAATTTCGTTCTTCAACCTTTTAATAGACAAGAACGTGAAGAGGTAAAGCAGTAAATTTGATAGCCTTTGTACAACAATGTGGGTTTGAACTTTGAAGCCCATATTGACCATTTATTAATCGAGTCACTTACCACCATGTTTAATCTTCTATGTTTGGCCTGCATTTCAGTTGGACATCACATTTCAAAATGGACTGGAAGCCACAAGGATTCTTTTGCTTGAGGGATTTAACAAAAGTGCGACATTTGTTAATAGCACAAAACCAATGGAACAACTTGGTTGAGAGCTTAAAAGAGAATGCGATTGCTTTGGAATCATAGTGGGTGAATGAGAACACTGTTATGATAAATGATGGGGTGTTGTGCTTAATGGCCAGTTCAAAGCTTCATCAAGAAAGCAAGAAGGCTGGTTATCAAAGCCTTGCCACTGATTTTCTAATATTGATTCTTTGTATTTTTTTCTTTTTTTGGTAAAATTCTTTGTATTTTTTTTCATACAGAAGAAATGTGCCACAACATTTTCCTGTGATTCAATGAGGTTAATTGTTTCAAGACATGAACTCGTTTTGGATGATGAATTTATTCTTTAAAATTTCAAATACTAATTCAAACTGAGATAACAAGGAAGGTTATCCTATCTGCCTTACATGTTACATGCTGATTATGCTTGAGTGCTGTGATTTATATGGTTGAAGAAATTTTTAGTAACTAATGAGGTCATTATGTTATGAAAAATTTCCCTGCCGATACAGACAGAGTTGGCTTTTCTGTAGATATCTTGACACTGCCCTTTACATGACAAGTTTGTTGGATAAAGGGAAAATAGTAAGAATTAAGAGATTATGAAGAAAGAATGGGAAAGATCTATCTACCTGAACTGGTCCTGACCATCCATCTGCACTTCAAAACAAGATAATCGAGGACAACCTCTTTAAGCATAACCTAACTGTGTCACCTACTTTGTACATGGCTGTAAATGTGCTTGAATTCAGAGCCTCCTTTTACCTAAAAAAAGCTTTTGCTTCACCCTCCCAAAAGCACCAACTTAGAAATTTAATGAAGGGTAGCTAACTAATATAAGAACTAAAAAACCAGTAGTATAATACATACTACACTGAACTCCTAGCTAGTAGTTCTACAGAGTTGATGCCTCTTATCTATTAGGAAAACCAGTATTGCCCGTAATATGTAACAAATTGACAAGTCTGGAGAGCCTAGATGTCCAAAAATTCTCCCAAGGTAAACCACTATTCGGGTCTTTGCTTCTTTGGAGAGATCATGTTGCTAGACTCTGCCTTACACGTAATCCACAAATGTTCATCCTGAAAACCCAGAGTTCATGTTAATATATATTTGAGTTACTGTGTAGTATGTGTAAAAGATAAGTATTTGGGTAAATCAAGATGGTAAATGTGTCTGTATTTTTTTCATTTTGCATTTCATATTCCATCTGAGACATATGAAGACTTTAATATGGACAACTACTCTAGTGTATATGTAGACCTAAAAGCCAAAGTTAGGGTCTCAGTTAAATGTATATGCTGTAAGCACAGTTTATACCATGGACAGCAGCCCCTAAATAGGTAGTAATTAAAAACAAGACTGTAATATAACTGGGGTTTGGCCAACTCAAACCCAAAAGTAAATTTCACGGGAACACATTCATATGGATTAATACCATTGCAAACAGAACTAATAATGAAACCATGCAGGTGCATATGCCTGTTTAAACCAAAATATAGGTATGATATCCAACTAATTGCTGTAGTGAAAACAAAAACAAAATTTGTTTGATAGTAAAGAAAAAATCATTAAATAAAAAAAGAAGCAAGTGCAACTTTTGGGGTTAAGGTATCAACAAACAAGTGAAAAGAAAAAAAAGAAAAAGAAAAACAGATGTCAAAAATCCCCTTGAGACACTTCCAACCAAACTACTCTGATCCAAGTGTCTCCCTCACAAATAACCTATATCAAAATGAACTGCAGGCTCACATCATATATCTCAAACCCACTTCCCAACCTTCAACCCTCAATCTTTACTTTTTACGGACTTCAATCCATCTCCCCATTCTCTCAATCAACCTTCAACCATACCCCCTTGTTGACCTCTGAAGATAGAAATTAAGAGATTTTACTTTTACCTCTAATTCAAAAATATTTTCTTGCATATTCCATCCCTCCCTAAACGAAACAGACCCAATATTTTTCCAACCTCAATTTCTTTTTCTACTACCTTGCTTAAATCTGCTTTTTTATCAATATTTTAAACTTCACCTATTGCTATCTTGTCCTCATCTTTTTCTTTTTTTCTGGGAATCTCTTTTCATATTCTGATCCTTTACCATCCTCATATATCCCAGCATCCACCTTTTCTGCAATAGGTCATGTTTTATACCAAGCAAAATCTAGTATCTGCTTCCTACGTTTTGCTTTCTCATTGTACAAAGCATTAGAAAATTTCAAATTAGTGATCCAAAACATCTACACTAGTTGTGAAAATGGAAAAACAGTTTATTAAGTTCTGCTTGGCAATTTCATTGAAAGATGGGCAATAGGAAAAGAAATTTCAAGAAACAGATACCCAAATAAGGTATCACCTCCCTGACTCTATCTCAATCATGTAGCCAGTACATTCTATTTCCTTTTCATTTTCCATATGAACAACCCAGACCACAGTCACCACACCAAACGTGATTTGAAGGGTGAGAGAGTCAGAAACAGAAAAGTCTTTCTCAGGTAACAAAAAAAATGACACATCTCCTTCACGAGACTAAATATTGATTTCTAGGACATATTTAGCATGTGCAAGGAATAAATAATACCAGAGAAAAGGGTTCAGGTTCAAAATTTTACTACATCTTCTGAAATGCTACGAGTCTTCCTTGATGATTCCTGCAAAACAAAATTATCTTACTTCATTCATGCATAAGAAAATTTGGAAATAAAATTCTTTTGTATGTAGAAATCATCACCTGGCTCACATGAGATTCAATGTGAATGGATTCTTTGGAAACACTTGCATGTAATTGTGTCTATGTGGAAGCACATGCATTAACAACTATTGAGACCCAAAAACACAGAACAAATCACAAGTACAAAGAAAATTATCTAGGGCAGTCTTAAAAACATATATGCACCACTCACCTGTAATGATTGAGACATGTTATGATCAGTGTCGAAGGAGTTGGGCTGTCCATAGAACAAATAATTTTGTGGCTGCACCAAAAAATGTACTAGAATATATAAGAAATACATTTATTATAATAGTTTGGAAGAACTAGGTGAAGTGAAGGTATGGTACGAACACTATGCAAACCAATGTTGAAGGTAATTGAATCCAAACCAAATGTATGAGATGTGTGTTGTTGTTCGTTTGATTCCTACAATATAAAGAATTATAATTTTAATATCAAAAATACAAAATGCATAGTTTAAACATATTTGATCAAGCAATACCTGTGTGGATGAAAGAGGCTGCTCAAAATTCTGTGCCCTTGTCCTTTTTGTCTTCCTTTTAGGGACATGATTTAAATTGCCTCCATCTCCACATTCCCAAATCATTACAATTTAATTATCAATGACAAAGAATATAGTAAAAGTAAATTGTAGGGGTATAACTGTATAAATTTAAAACAATACCTGTGTAGGCTGTCGGGTAGAACATTCATCAACAGATTGGTTATTCTTCCATTTTGTCCTCTTTGTTATGGTCTTTTCTAAAGCATCTGTTGGCCTCTTTGAAGAACATACAGTTGTCACCTTGTCTTTAAATCCTTTCACTACAGTGGATGACACTCCTTCAGTAGAACTGATATTGTTGCTAACGGCATCTTTACATATATCATCAAAATGTGTGGAAGGAGAGCAAATAGAGCTAACGGTATCATTAATTTCTGCTCCCATAACCTTTGATGCAACAAATGACTTCTCAAAGTTTGTGTGTTTTAAACATTCTGTGACTTCTTTCAAAAGCCTATTTGCACTCTCCATAACAACCTTGTAAGCATCTTCAACAGATGCAGCTCTATCTGCTACTTGGTTAAGCAAACGATTCATCTCCTTGTAACGTATTGCTGCTTTCTCCCTTTCATCAAGAGTTATATTAGAGCCACATGATGCTTCAACAGCCTTCACCTTCACATCAACAGTCCATCTTCTTAATATATAATGCGAGGGGATTGTCTTGATGTGTCTATGATTAAGTACTTTCAATGCATGCACACATAAGATTCCAATGAATTCAAACTTTCTACAACTACAGTTGACCAAATCATTTGCTGAATTAAAAGCAACTATGTGTTTCCTTTTTCCAGACACACTAACTTCATATTCAGTTATTGTTTCAGACACAACACGATCTTCATCAATACTACAATTTAGTTGCTGCAGTACTTCAGTATAAAACATGGAAAATATTGGCGGAGTATATATATGAGCAACATAATTCAATATATCCACTTGTACAGCTAATGTGGGGATATTTTGTGTTGCAAATTCAGCTTTTAACTCTTCATACCGCCTATCAGCAACCACTCTTTCAAAATGTCGAAGAAATCTTGACAAATCATATTTGATGTTAAGATATTTTTTCAAACAACTATTCATACTTTCACTTCTTTGAGTTGTGCTTATATCAGCAGAAAATGTTTGCCGCCCAAACACTAGAGCCCATCTATATCTTTTCTCATACAACTTCTGTAACCAATCATTTTCTTGAAGATTGTACTTATTGATCATACTTTCCCATGCATTTTCAAATTCATCCACTTCTTCATAATCAAATACACATTTGCTAAGATCCTCGGAAAATGTCTTAAAATTCTGAAAAACACCACTAAGGTGTTTTGTGGCATTTTGGAAAACATGCCAAACACATAGTCGATGATGTGATCCTGGCAACACCAAACCAATTGCCTTTGCTATAGATGCATCATCATCAGTCAAAATTGTCTTCGGCCTTTTCCCACCCATTGTTTTGATGAAAGTCTTAAACAACCACTCAAAAGTTTCTACAGTTTCATCATACAAAAATGCAGCACCAAATATGATTGATTGCTTATGATTATTCACCCCCACAAAAAGTGCAAATGGTCGATTTTCATTGTTGATTCTATATGTTGTGTCAAAACACACAACATCACCAAAGTGACTATAATCTACTATCATATGTGCATCTGCCCAAAACATATTTGTGACTAGCTCATCTTGGTCCAATTGTACGGCATAAGAAAAAGATGGGTCCTTTTCTTGCATGTCTTGACAATATTGTAGAATAGCACCTGCTTCCCCCTTTTCCATATTCCCAGTCCTACATGAATGCAAGTAATTCTTTAAATCCGTAGAAGTGGATTCAACATTTTCATGCGCACCAGCTTCCTTGGCTATCAATTCCATTGATGCTTTTAGAGCTAACCCTAGATCATTTGCCATTTTAGCTTGTTTAACTTGTGCTTCAGAGTTTATTCTTCGAGATCTTAATGTATGTGCTTTTCTAGGGGCTGCAATAATATGGTTATGAATTTCACTAAAAACAATCACATGAAAGAAACCATCTTCCCGAATACTTATCCTCATCTCCGCCATACAACCACATCTTGTCTCTACCCTAGGCTGCTTGACATTGGGTCGACGTTTATCTACTGCACGCTTCCCTTGTTTAGAACAACAAAACTTTCTATAGTTCACTTCGCCAGTCATACGACATAGATTTCTATTAGATTTTCGAGTGGTAAATCCCAACATTCCAGCATATCTATTATAAAAATCGTATGCCTCCTCTTCTGTCTTAAACATCATACCAACTTTTGGGGTACACTCTTCAGGAATGAGGGCACATCTTTCTTTGAGCTTCCTTTTTATGCTTGCATCGAAGCTTTGTTGTTGTTGCTCTTTTGTTGGAAAATCATTAACAATACTTTCTCCCTTATCTAGTTCAACAGACTTAGACGATTCATCGGCTCCATGTAAGACAACATCAATATGTTGACATTCATTACCATTGGATTCAAAATCCAACCTATGGATAGAGTGAGGCCCAACCTCCAATTCCATTGATGCTTTTGGAGTTATCCTTGAATTGTCCGTTGGTTTAACTTGTGCAGCTTGTGCCTCAGATGTCATTCTTTGAGATCTTAATTTGGGTGCTTTTGTGGGGATTGCAATAATATGGTTATGAGTCTCATTAAAAACAATAACGTGAAAGCAACCATCTTCCCGAAGACTTATCCTCATCTCTGCCATACAACCACATCTTGTCTCAGCCCGATGACATCTAACACAAGGTCTACGTTTATCTACTTCACGTTTCCCCTGTTTAGAACAACAAAATTTTCTATAATTCACTTCACCTGTCCTCCGACATATATTTCTATTAGACTTTCGAGTGATGAATCCCAACATTCCTGCATATCTATTGTAAAAATCGTATGCCTCCTCTTCTGTCTTAAACACCATACCAACTTTTGGGATATACTCTTTCGGAATAAGGGCACATCTTTCCTCAAACTTTCTTTTTATATTTTCATCTATGCTTTCTTGTTGCTCTTCCATTGTAGGCAAGTCATCAATAATGCATTTTCCTTTATCTAGCTCAATAGCTTTAGCCGATTCATCTGCATCGACTGAGGCAACATCAATATGTTGAGGCCCAACCTCCATGGTCTTTGATTATTCTGTTATAAATGATAAAAAGGTCACAATTGTTAAACACATTAAATAAAAAGAAAACAATTGAAAATGAAATGACTTTAATGAACATAGATTTACACACAAAAATAAATAGGAATCATGTTCAATAATCATCACTAGAGTATGTTGACAACACTAATACATACAGCCATTGAACACAAGAAAAAAGGATTCAAGCATATAATATTTTTTTCTGAGAAAAGATAAAGTAAAATTTTATTAAATAGAACAGCATATTACATGTGCAGCCCCAAAACAAGGAGCCAAATTCCAGTTATTCTGCATAAGATCTTCTGCCTTATTTTCTTGTGTTGAAAGTATGACAAAAACATGAAACAGCAGTCCTACAAAGTCTAACAGAAAGGAAAAATCACGAGCATTGTTTTCCATATATTCCAAGGACTATTGAAAATCCTGCAATCCTGTTACCAAATTCCTAATATCTTTTCTGACTTCATTTGTCGAGAGTCTCCACATCTTTAGGTTACTGATTAAATCAATGTTTTGAATAACTAGGCCATGATCATACTTGATCATTCAATCAATGTTTGGAAACCATGATCACTACCTGATCTCTGAATTGCTTTGAATAACTAGGCATCTAGGCCATACAACAAATGAAGCTTTATATACTAGAAATGACCAAATGTTGGTTTGGACAAACAAATAAGATACTGAAAGAAAATTACTAGAGTAGCATCTACAGAGCATGCTTTTTTCCACAAACAAATCAATAAAAATATTCCATTCAACATTTTTAAATATAAATAGATAAAGTAAATATTTGCATAGCAATATACATGACAAAATTCAACAGTCTTGAGCAAATAGCTCAAGCTCCGGAGACATGAAGCTTCCAACTGTAGAGAGTTTATCCCAAATAATAGTTCTAGTTTCTCCAATTTGTGCCACATTACAGCACTAAGGTGATAAGGGTTTTATCGGGATTGGTGGGGAGGCAATGCTGCACTCAAACATGTCAGCACGACCACTAGAGAACGTAAGCATCCAAGGTATTTGATGATAGAAAGAAATGATTCTGGTGAGAAGTTTTTACTTAACATGTAAGTTCGAGCAAAGTGATTCCAGAAGAAGAAGAAGAAATGGAGGGTTTTACCGATCTAATTTGGCGCGGTAAGTGTGAGTATCAAGCTGCACCGATCTTCGGTTGCAGCAGCAGTCGGTGGCCGATGGAAGAAATAGCATGGCAGCGGTGGAAGTGCACAAGGGGCGAGAAAGCGAGACAGAGGGAGGATTTGAGGAGGGAATAGATGTGCCTTGCTTCGGCGCAGGGACTCTACAGAGTAAAATAAAATGTGATGAACACAAAAGTACAGAGGGTTTTACCGATCTGCTTCGGTGTGGTCAGCATGAAATAAGTTGGACCGTTTTTTTGGTGGCAGCGGCAGATGATTGACGGTGAAAGAAACAGCAGCGGCAGCGGCAGCGGCAGCGGCGGACGCGGGCAATCGGCGAGAACGAGAAAGAAACAGGAGCCTTTCAGTTTTTTGTTTTCCGTATTTTCTATTTTGTTTAAAAGAAAAAATAAATGTACCGGTTTTAGGTTCCAAACTAGGGGTGTCAATGGAACGGTTTTAGGTTCCAAACAAAATCCATTTGGACGGATCAATATGACATATCGGATTGGACCTGGTCCTTTTATAATAAATTTATATTGGATTGAGCCAATATCTGGTCCATTGATAAAAGATAAGAACATAGGTGTCAATGGACCAGGTTTGAGTTGAAACCAATCTAAATTAATAGGAATTTGAACAAATTGAACATCGGTCCAAAATGATTCAAAATATTCATTGCACTGGATTGGACCAAGTCCATTTGTAATGGACACATTGGACTGGACCGGATTGGACCAAATCTAGTCCAATTGACACCCCTATTCCAAACAGTCATAAGCCACATTGAGATGAGAAGGTCTGGATTCGGTCCAAACAAGTCAGGTAGGAATATACTACCAAACAGCCCGGTTAACAATTATTTCGTTTAGCTATCAATGATTTTGTTTTTTTTTAAGGAAAAACTAGCGGAGGGGGCCTGCGTTGTGGGAGCTCACTCATAAACTATCAAGCTTGAGCTCGATTCGAATTAGAGACTTGAGCTTGAGCTCGAGCTTGGCTCGAGTTAAAAGCTCGAAAGTTTGAGCTCGGCTACCTTTGATTGCAGGTCCCTCAAGTAGTTGAGGTCTCCCTCAATTGCCAAGGTTCCAAAGCGAGGTCTCCCTCAGTTGCTGAAGTGTCGAGCTGACCTAGCGAGCGAGATGTCAAGCTAAGGTCTCCTTTAGTTTACAAGGTGCCAACGTGAGGTCTCCCTCAATCGTCGAGGTGCTAAGCCAAAATCTCCCTCAGTGACCGAGGTGCCAAGCCGAGGCAAGAAAGTTGCCGGTGTTGTATACTCAGCACCAACGCCAGAGCGTTGCCGGTGGTAGTCTGATTCTGGTTGTGTGCCTGAGAAGAGCGGCGATTGCAACGGTTTCGAAGAGAACAAGAGGGGCGCCAACCTCTACAGTTCTGGAGAAGAGCGGTGATTCCAAAGAAGAGTGTCAGAGAGGAGCGGCGGTTCTGAGAGATCTATAGTTTTGGTTGTAATTGAAAGAGTTTTATTGTTATCCGATCTATAGTTCCGACGGTTTCGACATTTTCGGCAAAGAGAACGAGAGGGAGAGGGAGAAATCCGACTAATATATAGTGGGAGGGTAAAATAATCTTTTTCATATCTCCGTTAACACACGTTAATGACATGAAGGATTAGTCAATTGTCAGAAATAATAAGGGTAGTATTAGTGATTAATCAATTGTCAGAGATAATAAGGGTAGTATTAGTCATTTTTAACATTAAGGATACACTTAGTCAATTAGCTAAACCATAAGGGTTGTTTAAGAAATTTATTCTTATATCGACTACCTGAGCTTTTCTTGATCATATATCCAACAACAGGGACCTTTATCGGAGCTTGACGTCCCCCCTCCTTGGGTGCCTAACACATCCAAAACCCACCATCACTTTTTATGAATTCTTTTAAACTCACTATAACTTTTCAAAACATCCAAACTTCACCATGTCAATGAGATTTTATTTTCTAAAACTCACCATCCGTTAGAATACGTTAAAGTTCATTAAACCAAGTTGTCCACATCAACCTAAATGCAAGTTTCATGACCAAACTGCCCTTGAATTATGAATCGCCCTTGTTGAACTTGGTCTCCAGCCGTCTATTGCCGCTTCTCTTGTTGCTAGTCAAGGGGCCACTCAGAGGGCCACTGAACCCAACTCTCGTGCTTCCCATGTCCGACTCGAAGCCCAATTCAGTTTGGTAGCCTTGGCTTACCATTTCACTCCCTACACCCATTTTTTCTGGAGTCTGATCGATCGTCCTCAAAACCTAGGGGTTGCCTTAAGCCCTTCCTTTTCCCTTAAGCGCCCAATGAATAGATGGTGAAGAAGCGGAGGAATGGGAGAAGGGGAGAAGGAGAAGAAAGAAGAAGGTGAAGAAGAGAAACCGGGGACTGAAGAGGAGACGAAAGTGGAGGTAAAGAAGAACAAATTTTACTACTATTACGCCCACCATCCCAAATGCGTATACCCTCCTCAGATCTTCAGCAACGAACGTATGCTCCCATCTTCACGCCCTCCTTCTTCGGTTCTTATACGGGTGCATCTAAAATTCACTTGTATAAGAACGGGAGTCTAATTCCGTTCTTGACACAAGAACGATGCTCCCGTCTTCACGCCCTCTTCTTGCAGTACAATTCATTCTCCGATCATCTTCTGCTGGAGTTCTCAATGTAGCTCAGATCTGGATTCTCTCCTTTCCTCTCCTCCACCACTCAATTTCTCTCTTCTTTTCTTCGGCCTTCGATGATGCAAACCTACACGGACGATGAGTACGATAGTGAAATGACCAGAAAGCGAGAGCATGGAAGAATTCAGACTCACAAAAGAACGATGCCAACACGTCTATCCTGATATTTTAATATTCACACTCATGCGTGATGGATCTAACATTTAGGTTAAATAGTAAAATGTATCGAACATAATAAAGGGTAAAATAGTAAAATAGCGATGCCTGTCAGTCAATTTACCGTTATCTCACTGACATGGTGAGTTTTAGATATTTTGAAAAGTTATGGTGAGTTTAAGAGAATTCATAAAAAGTGATGGTGGGTTTTGGACAATTACCCTACTTAAAATCATCTAAACAGTTTTGAACCAACTTGACACTTTTTGAAAGTTTGAATATTTTTGGGATACATTTGAAAGTTCCAGTACTAATTTGACACCACCCCCAAAGTTTAGGTATTAAAGATGAATTTTCCCTTTTTTAAAACCAACAAAAATAATTGCCACATCAGCAAAAATAAAACAAAACCATTTACATTGTTGAACATGCCATTTGTTTGTAGAGCAGTTTCATTTGTATTGATGCAAAAATATGACAATGCAATTGGTTTATTTTTCTTTAAAAGATCTTTCAGGTTCAGTTTGGAAGAAGTATCAATACAAATATCTATGGTGCAAAATGTTGTATTTTATATATTTGTTTTCTTTTCAAATTTAGCCTTCATGTTTCAAATAATTACATAAATGCATCCTTTTGTTTTTTGTCTTTTTTTTTATTGATTGTCCTATAACCAAGTTGTTGAAATTATGACCATTTGGGTGTTAAGAATATGCACTCAACATTATTATTATTTTTTCTTTTAATTGCTAAAGTATGGTATTTCTGTTGATAGGGGACCTCAGAGCACCTCCCACCCGTATATTGGGAACATCTCCCATGACAAGTACAGGAGATATTCCCAATGCACGATGAATTTGCATGTGGGGAACCAATGTGATCTCTTCAATTCCAACTAACCTTTCGTTGTTCCATCTCATAAAATGAACAATGAAAGTCATTGAAAATAAAGTGAATCACCCTTTTTTTGGAGTAATTCGATGAATCTTCATCCAATAAAGATTTTTATAGGAAAAAGTGAAATTTTAAAAACCTTAAACACCACGCCAACATTTTCCATCAAGTTAACTAATAAAAATAGGTATGTTTGCATATTTATTTCAAACCTGAAAGGAGGTTTTTGCATTGACCAAAATACAAGGGAGGTTTAAGTAAATTTTCCATCAAGGCTGCATATTTAGTGTTTGTTTGGGCATCGATGTCGTTGTTCTAAAAAATGGTGACACATCAGTGCCACATTGGAAAAAACGGTTCTTTAGGAAATGTCTGTTTGTTTGGAACCGTTTTTCATGCAAAATAGTGTTCTAAGCCACACCTTGGAAATTAGGAAGGTGTGGCTTGGAGCAACGCCAAATTTGGCGTTTCCTGGAGTTGCAACTCATTGTTGCCAACAAGGACATGACGGAGCATCAGGAAATGTTTCTTAGAGCATTGGTACCAAATAGAAAACGTTGTTGTTGCTCCAAGAAACATCTTACCTGGCTGTAACGTTTCCAAACAAAAAAAGATGTCGTTTTCTAAAAAAATGGTGCTTCCAACCCACACATCAGCAGCAAATGATGTTGTATCTACAGCATTGATGTCAAACATATACTTATTTGAATGTTCTTTCAATCTTTTGAAAGAAAAATATGAAGATTAACAATTAGGTTGTATCACATTTGTCGTAGGCTATAAACCAGTATATACAATCCATCATTGAGCCTTATATATGGTGCGAACACAATTGTCTGAATCTGGTTGTGACTAATCACAAGTGAATATACTAATATTTATACACATAGACCCACATCAGATCCCATGCACACATGGGACCCACATCATTAAGGATAGCAATTTTTTCTGTTTTCCTGATATCCATGGGGATCCGCCCCGAATGGAGTGGGGATGGGGATGATTTTCCCCCAAGGATGGGGAAATTTTCATTCCTATTAGTGGGGATGGGGAGAGCACTCCTCGCCCTGCCGGGACCTCGATCCCTGCCCCATGGGATCCCCACTAATATATATATATATATATATATATATATATATATATATATATACATACATCTATATATTAAATTTTTTAAAAATATGGTTAAATATGTTTAAGTAATAAGATTGTAAACTTTAATTATTTCATTTTTATTTTTTTAAATAAAATAAAAAAATAAAAATAAAATGATTAACATTATAAAAAACTACGGAGAATGGGGATTTCCACAAGGATGAAAATCCCCGTGGGAACGGGAATAGGGATTTTCACAGGGACGGGGTGTTCACTTGTGTACGGGGAGCCCGCCCCGCCCCTTGCCATTCCTGCACATCACATTTCAGACATGTGTACAGAATACTTGGGTGTTCACTTGTGATTGGTCACCTAACCAGGTTCCCACACTCCGTGTTCACAACAGACTACGTGCACAACAAGATACCAACCTCGCTGTTAACTCATGAATAAAATATGGGTTAGCTTAATTAAATAAGAGCCTATAGCATAGATAACGAGGGATTCGACTATGCTGTCGAAAACATATGATATTGGAAAAACTTCAACCAATCAACCATAGAAGTCAATCATGTGGGCTTTTACCAAAGTTTACGAGGATTGTAATGTCAAAGTCTTTCTGATATCATGTCTTTCCCACAGCATATATTTTACCTCCTTGTCTTATTATCATCCCCAGCTTATACTTTGTTAACTTTTTCTTTGAATAATTCCCATCATGTTATTTTTTTCCAGATAGAAGACGATTTGAAAAAGCAGAGGAAGCACTTTCTCACATATTTCGATCTTCCCATCCATCTTTTAAAGGTATGAACTCCTATATATTGTTTATTTCAAAACTCAGGACTCAGGAGGACTTGGAAAAGACTAGTATGTAAGTTGTAACCATCAAACCTATTTCCTGTAGGCATTTTCAATTACATGTTTTGGCGAGTGGGGTGACAAGAGTCAGGTAGGCAATAGAACAGAGAACTCCATGCACCTAACTATATCATGTTGATCACAACTAGACTTGATTTATGACTATTTTCAAGTTTATACCGACTTGTTGCTTTTCAGATAGCTACAATTGGTTTGGCTGCAGATGAAAACCCTTTGGGTGTGGTCCTTGGTGGAATCATGTATGCTTTGACCATCTCTTACTCTATGTGTTTATGTACTGATTGATGTATCGCCATGGTAGCATGCATGTCTGTGCATGTGTTTTTATTTTGTATGCATATCAATTATATTCCACCCTATTCAGTATTCATGGATCAATCATTCTTTGTATTGACCGACTTTCAAGGATTCACTCACTTTTTTTTTTTTGACTGATTATGTTGGTCCTAGGGCCTAGGCATCCCGACCACTGCATTGCAAGTTAGGCTGTAGAGCTAGACAGTTATTTAGAACCTGTCTAATGCAAGAACTCAAAATTGTACCCATCTATTGATGCAGGTTGAATTCTCAGGTGGAGTTCTTTTTTGTAGTGTTTTGTATCCAATCTTTCTCATCAACAGTTGAATTATATGATATCTGATGCTTGCTAATTGTGCGTGCTTGCACTATACTTCTTTTATTCACAATTCATCATCATCATAATAAATAAATAATTTTTGTTGTTCTTACTTCTTACTCTTGTTGTTGCAGACACTGTTGAAGCTAGAGCATTGTTAAGTGAGGTGGGAATTAATATTGTTGTCTTCAGTATTATGATCACTAAAGCTGAAGAGCCGATAACAGTAACTTCATCAGGAAAAAGGAAATATTTCAAAGTTTTCTTGAAACTCTTGCATACTTTTTCAACTCTAGTCTAGTGGGCATCATGTGAAAGATGCAGAGCAATTTAAGAGAGTATTTGGCATTACTTATTTTAAAGAACCTATCTCCTTTTTTGCAGTTAAAGGAAATAAGGAATGCCAAAGGCAGCAGAAAATGCCATTACCCAATGTATCTGGATTCTGGCATCTTGGGAAGGATGGATCTTTGCCCAAAGTGGAGGCTGTCCTCGTATTCCTATATTCTCTTGCTTTTTCTCATGGTCGTGGGTGATTTGTTGCCTTTTATGTTGAAAAATTAGGAGTTTTTTTGGATGGATAATATATCTGATATCTGTTGCCGTGGGATGTCTCACTGTCAACATGAGTAAGTAACGTCCCAAAGCTTTGAATCCGCCAAGGAGGAGCCAGGGAAGGGTCCAACAGGAACGTCGAAACCTTCGGTGCATCACCTTCGATAATGAATCTATCAATCTCAGATCAATTGCTTAGACTGACCCGTAAAGCACCCACACACCCACCATCGCTGACGACAATACCAATCCCAAGCAGTTGAGACCCAGTACCGTGTCCACATTTACCTTAAAACCATCCCTCCTCAGAAAGTCAGAATGCTGAACGGTTGAAGATGGAACACCCACGATTCTCTAATTTTCAAGACAAGGATTCATTCATTACTTACATCTTTAATCCATTCAGTTTATCAAATCTCAAAAGCAAGTCCAAAGTCCAAACTAACACTATACAAACAAAGTGTCCTCAATGTCGTATTGTCCACCTCCCTTGCCTTAGCACCTGATGATATGACATCAGGGTTCATATAACATGGATGTTTTCAGGTTATGTACACACAAGCAGATTTATAATACTTAAAAGAAGATGGAGGTAAGCAGCAGCAGAGACATAATTCTCCACAATGAGAACAGTCCTTCAAGTCTTCAACACCCCCCACTTGCAGGTTCTATTGAACTTAGGAGACCATTGCCCCTCAGCTGCATGCAATGTTCTTCAGCATCTACTTGAGCACAGATAATCACCACTGCCAGGCCATTATAGTGTGCCTCTTGCATGATATTGACCGCGTTGTCAAGGGTCATTGCAGGAATAACCTTCATGAGAACTTGAACAACATATTCTCGCTTGTTGTAGTTGTCATTATGCAATATTACACGATAAGGAGGAGCTGTTTTCCTTGATTTCCTGAAAATCAGGTTTCAATAGTCAGTTGTTAGATCCTTTGTTTTTTCTTATGCTCTGTTCTTCACTACAACAATTCTGCATCAAAGATGGAACAAATGCAACAATAACATTTAATATCCACGAATCTGCGGAGATGTCTTAGGAGAATGGTACCCATTAGGGCATCAGATCTTTCAACAAGGATAGGATACCTAATATCAACATGAGATGGATATTTGATACTATATGTATCTTAAAGAAGGGATTCTTGAGGTAAAAATCATTGCTATATACCACTATGTTTTTACCAGTACTAGAATAATATAGAGTGTTTCACATCAGAAATATGTAGATAAATGTACATAGTGCTTCATAAATCCTACTCCTATCAACCAAACCCAACAGAACTGCATATAATACTATCAGCAGTCTAATCAAGGTGGCTAGGCAAAGCATCGGCTATTTTGGTGAGTTCGGCAGATTTCTGTGTTTCCTATTTGTTTATGTATCTGATGCTATCATCATAATGGCTCCATTTGTTTCATAGTAGCAAGGGTGGAGATTTTCTAGTCTGAAATATTTCTGTTACCTCCCTACTCTTTTACATCATAAACTTTGTTTCCCACCCCTTTTACATGGAAGCAAATGCACATAGATTTCTTCATTTGCCCAGTTCTCATATCCTGATCTTTGTTTAATTATTATTGCTCTGAAAATCCAAGTTAGTGTTCCCTGATCTAGTGTCCAATGTAAAGTTGGGTTTTCAGTGAATTTAAACAAATAGAATGCCCTAACTGGAACTGATAGCATACAGGTCAATCTATAATGCATAATCATTATTTATGATTGAAATGTATCTCGCCAAGATTCGGAACATAAGATATTTTAATATTGTATAGTTAAACAAACAAAAAAATCAAGGTGGTTGACCTAAAGATTCATATCTATACCTCAAGTCAAACTCAGATTCACGGCCAGGTGTAGCCTTCTCTATAGTTGGTCTCTCCAACAAACCACCACCTTTGCCCTGACACATAGCTGACATTGACATGACAATGCCTCGATTTGTACATGGTCCCTTATAGAGGGAGTGTTTATCCCCTAAATCATGCATAACAGGTACCAGTGAGAAACAGTTATGAATATATTCATTGAAGGTCATCTACGGAGGGGAAGCCAATTGATGCCATAAAACTACAAATAAGCATCAGGTTTTCATGTAGTAGAAAACGTATTTTGTAAATTTCCCCCTTATATTTTTTTTATCAATAATTTCCCCCTTATATTTCCACACCAAAGAAAAAGAAAAAATGAAAAAAAAAAACAACATTGCGGAAGATGTTAAAGCATGGTTACGATTTTCCTGTCTTTTTTCCTTTTACCTTTTCTGATAAGGAACATTTGAAGATTTCTTTAAAAAACATAGAACAGCATTGGCAAATGAATATATGCAGTAGCATTGATATGGGCATATCAAAGGAAACATTCAGGGTCTATATATTTCCACTATCACCCACCATTTTTTGCAATTTTCCATGGCCTTCAGGAGAAAAAGCCCAAGGAATAGCATACACTATATCCCCCCCCCCTAATTTTGATTGTTAACTTGGATAAAATTTTAACACTGACTTGCAAATTCATCTGCAGAAAATTGAACCTGCATAAGATATATTCATCCCTTTAAATATACTCAGAGATATTTCCTTCTAGGATAATCTAGTTAAGTCAGATCTGTTTAACATTGCATACATTAAAGACTAAGGATCATTACCCAATGCTAGTCCCAGCTATACAGACTCTTTGGAGGGGTGGATTAGTACAGACCTTAAACTCTAGCTCTTTCTTTCTTTTTTTTTTTTTTGGCATGAAGAGGCTAGGACTTGAAAACACATACATTTTATCCTTCTGATTATGTTTTAAGACTTAAAGGCAAGGAAGTGGATTGGTGGAGAACTTGAGCCTAGTGGATTATACTATCTTGATGGTGGCCTGGAGAGTACAACCTTGCAGTTATCATCTTTATTTTCACTTTTTCAGCTACATTGACACCTTAGGTATCTGGTATAAAGCATATGAATATGGTTTCCATCTCTTCGGTCACAGGCCTCCCTTGATTGTAAAGAATGCCAGTTTAGTTAATATCATAAAGTCTCTTTTCCCTCTAGAGTTATGAACTGTGTATCATGTCTATTTCTGTTGGTATATTCAAATGTCTGGGATCCATGTCCTACTCCCATAGAAAGCTTGTTATCTCCATGCAAAAGATGTATCACTATAGAAATACACAAGATCAAGGATGTTTTCAGTTTAATGTGCAAGAGGTGCCATTGAACACTTAAATATCAGCAAGCATTCCTATTCAATTGAGCTAAAACCATCAATCCAACAAAGTAAGCAAATTGCATGGAAAGCACATAGACGAACAACAGACATCTGTTGCATAGTTTTTTTTTCTTTTTCTGAAATGTAAAGAACTATTATTAAATATATGAGACAATAAAGGCCATAAAAGCCATGAACAAACTACACAGAGAACATATGGATATTTATGTAAAACTCCACCTTACTCATGTACAAAATGAGACTGAAGTCAAAAGTTCTCTAATCTTGTTTGTTATTCAACAATACAAATTGACATCACTGTGAAGTAAACACTATTTCTAAGTAGCACATATTCTCTAATATAGTTTCTACTTGATAATCCAAAATCTTATCCAAAAAGAAAGTAAACAACCATTTTTGTCAAAATAAAATTTTTGTATCACTTAATCAAATGCTAAATGAATATCTAATCACAAAGAAAGAGTTAATACACAATTATATAAACAAATTTTAGCATTTTTTACAAAGGGGATAATTACTGTCAATTTCAGTTTCTTTCTGAAAACACATGTTTCATTTTCTTTTAGATGTAAAATTTTTTTTCTAAAGGGGGAAAGGTGTTGTGCTAATATATTTTCACTGCTAAATAAGATATGTTTTTGTTCTTTGTGCTAAATCTTCTTCTTGGTAAGAGAAGATAGCCTGACAAATGGTATGTTAGATGTATTAATATATACATAATAGTATAATACAAGATTCAGCAATTCTTAATAAAGCTTTCTAACAGGACAAGGATCTAGAAAATATTTCAAATTTACATATAAACAAAATAAAAATATTCAGTACATACGGTAATCAAATAATCATGTCTTAACAAAAGTTGCATAACCAAATCCAGGAATTATTATCAGTAATGCTATTTTTGACCTTAGAATGAATGGTGTTTTCAATTGTTACAAGCAAATAGGATGTATACGAGGTGCTCCAGCCAACAAGAGTGAAAATAAAAATCATAACCACCAATAAGAAATCTCTGCACAATATTTTGCATTGTCAGTCAAAAACAGTGTTCTAAAAGGTGTGCATAGAACCTTTCTAATAACATAATGTTCTAACCAGTTGAGCTAATAAGCTTTTTGAAATATTTTATTTTTCCAGAACTTAGATTTGCAAATTATTATATAATAAATTTGTATAACTTCTTTTATTTCCTTTTCAAAAGTGGTGCCTAACTTCAATCAGGCATGTACCTTGCCTTGTGCCTCATACCTCAGGACTTCTCGCTTTTAAAATAGTGATAAACAATTAACCAAACAAATTCAAACAGTTCCAAATCTATGCAAGTATGTTGTCTTCACATGAAACTGCAAAATCTTTTACTGACAGAATGAAATACCGATATCAACCTGTCTGTGCCCCCCCCCCCCAACCCAAAAATGAAAGTTTAAAAAAAATCATTTTATCCATTTTATTCTCAACTTCTCCCTGATATCACTAATTTTATCACATTCATTTTCCTTGATATTTTCCAAAGAACACTTTTTTTTAACATTTCTGTGCTCAAATTTCACTCCGAGAATCCCACAAGCATAGTATGCATTTCCTTTTTTTTTTTTGATAAGTATAAACTGAGTTTTTATGTTAAAATCCATTTAATTTTCCAACAGATTTTCAAGATCAGACTCAGGTTACTGGATTTAGTCCAACTGTCCTCATTTCACAACCAGATACCTATGTTTTGGAATAAAGTATTGTAAGCCATTTCATAATGATACATCAACCGCAAATAAGAATTTTACAGCAAATAAACTCCATAGGGGCCATTGCTTGGTTAGGTTCGTATTCAGTCCACTTCTCCCAAGACCCCAGATAGCTGGGACCAATAGTCTTTAATGGATTTTACATCAAGTAAACTCGAGAGAAAATTTTTCCCTCTGGAGTTAAGATCATAATACAACTGCATTTAGAACTCATGGAAATTACAAATTGCATGACGAAAGTTAACAAATATCAATATTGTTATCTAATTTTAGATTATTACACCAAACCAAGCCTAATGATGCTACCAAAAATTAATTCAGGCTCTTATTATCCTTGATTTCCAGTCCGTTCAGCGTCCCCCTCCAGAAATCACTCTCTTCAGTTTGTCAAATAGTCGCTATTAACAATAAAAGCCGCTACAATTTGAAGCTTATATCTTATACGAAAACAATCGAGTTAGATGCACTTTGGCTTGCAAAAATATAAAATCACAGAAGTTCTATAAATAAGTGTCAACTACACTCAATACAAACAGTAAATTCAATAAACCTATTTTTTTTTATCAAAACCAGCTTGACAAAATTTAAGGATTAAATGACGTATAAAAAAATTAAAAAACTAACTAGAGGTCTGAATACAGAATGGGGGAAAAAATAGGTAATGGCAGGACGTACAGATGCTCAAGAGAAAAAGATGGCATTGAATTGCGAAACAAATTGAAGATAAGATCAAAGTAATGACTCAATCAACATTCCTAAACATCGAAATTTTCTCTCAGTATAAATGAACCAGAAATAAATGAAATTTCTAATTGAACAAGTGAAGGAAGGAAGAAGAATAGATGGGGGGAGCTAGAAACCTGGTTTAGTAGAGCTAAAGACGTGATTAGGAGAAAGAGCGATTCTCCCAGAAATGGCGGTCTCCATGGCCACTCTCTGTCTCTCTCACCCAACCTTCGGTGTCTGATCTCTGAACCAACAATCCTCTTCTCCGATGAAACGAAAAATATCAACCAGAACTGGTGTTTGTTTGCTTCTGAACACCAAGAGGTGGTGGCGAGTGGCAAGTGGCTGCATCGCTTCCCTCATTCCCTCGAGTCCTGGTCCCTGTTCGTTTTTTTGCCCAGCGGAACTGGAGAATACTGGGCCAATCACAATACACCACGTAATTCCAAGATGTGGGAGCCACGCTTCTAGATGACATGTGGTGTACTATGATTGGTCCAGAATTACGAGTAGAAACTTTTCTTTTGACTTCATGAAACTACAGGAGCTTCAGATTCTGGACCGTTCAATTGGTATTGTTAGAATCGAATCTGAACGCTGATATAGTAAACTTACCGGTACATGCTTGGATTTGGGCCACAATTTTGCTGGTAGCATTGAATGGACCGGGCCCGTAGCTTGCTTTACGCTTTGGTTATATTTGGGCTTCACTGTCCAGTCCAATGGGTCCAAGAAATCACTTTGAAGCTTTTTTTTGGTAGAAATGATAATTCATTCAAAACAGGAAAGCAGCCAACAGAAAAGCAGATATAAAACAACAAGGAACCTGAACAACAACAAGAGCAAAAACAAACAAGAACAGAACAAAAAGGAAAAAAAAAAAAACAAAGAAAAAAAACAAATTCAAGCATTAAACCTCCCTACTAAGAGAGTCACAACAGAGCACATCTGACTCAGGTAGTTAGATTGTGGGCCACCTCATTTGCAGTACGAGGCACCCAACCAAATGAGAAGGAAATCACTTTGTAGCTGAGTCCCCATAAAATTTCTTCAGGCTTAGTTTGGAATGAGTACAAATACAAATATATAGAGTGCAAAACCTTGTATTTTGTATTATTTTATATATATTTGTATTTGTACTCCTTCCATACTGAGCTTCTCATTCATTCAGATCGTGTTTGGGAGTGTTTCTTCAACAGACACAGTCAAAAGCTGTCTAAAAAATCGTTTTGTCAAAAAGGTTCGACTATGATACTAGAAAGACATATAATATCCCAAAAAGTTGTGATCTATCAACGGGTATTATAAATGTATTAATCAATCAGATGGAATTTATCAAAATTCTTTCGATATCATGTCTTTTTGCATCATAAATTTTCCTATTAAAAAAGCTCAAAATGGTCTTGTTGTATAAAAACATTTGAAAAAAAAAAACAGAAGAAACTTATTTAATTTTTTATGTTCATAAGAAACTATATATACTAAGGTTCAAAATATTGATACGCCCAATATGAATCGATACTTTTTTTGCTTTTTTTTATTTTTTTCTAAAACCGGTTAAGGGGGCAGTTTAGGGCTCCTCCACCGCCTGAACCGATCAAACCCCCAATACACCCACTATAGGGGCGTATTTGAGGGGTCCCGGAATGATACGTATCGGCCGATACATGTCGATACTTTGAACCTTGATCTATACTATTATAAATGTACGAATGAGGGTGTGGAATGTTTCTTGACTAAAATGCCCACATTTGTTATTTAGTCCAACTCTAATTATGAAGGTTGAAAATGTAATTTCAATTAGTATTTTTTACCTTATTTAATCATCTCCCATCAACTCTTGTATTTAAGGTATTGACTCTCATTCTCTCTTATTAAATTCCATATTTATTTAAGTTAATTTTTCACTAATAAATGCTACTAATTAGATATATGTCCATTACTTTTATAACCCATACATTTTAAAACTTACTCAAAACAAAACCATTATTTATCCAAGTATTAACTAAGCAATTCAACTATCTAAATCAAATTGGCCAACCCATGAAGTCATGATTAGATAATAAAATTTTGGGTAAATTTCTTAAACTACCCTTATGGTTTAGTTAATTGACTAAGTGTATCCTTACTGTTTGAAAATTGACTAGCACTACCCTTATTGTTTCTGACAATTGACTAACTCTACCCTTGTTGTTAGCATCCGTTAATGCTCCGTCACAATCTATGCACATGTGATCGCATGTGACCAATACAACTTTTTTAAAATCTAATATTACCCTTGTACCCTAAGCTCCCCACTCTCTCTCCTAAGACCTCTCCCTCCACCTTTGTCTCTCTTTCCATTCTCAAACCTCCCCCTCTGCCTCTCATCTCTCTCCCCTTCTCTCTTCTTCTATTTCTCTCTTTATCTCATTGTATGCTTGCATACTAATCAACTCAGATTAATACTCCAACTAGTAAACAACTGGCATCTCTTCTGCAAGCCTAAACTCAATGACTAGAAATGGGCTGAGGTAGTCATTCGCTTTGAGCTCAGCGTTGATGGCAATTGCTTGCCCGCACATTGACCGCTGGTTCACGACGAGTCTTCCCCTTCTCATCATAGAAGTTCTACCATAAATCATAAACAGAGCAAATTTTCGCTACCTGTTTCTTCGTTGACAAACTCAACATTTGAAAAAGCTTATAGTATGACAAATAGACAAAAAAATAGAAGAAATTTCAAAAGAAAACAATCAAACAGAGTAACCAAAGATCCACTCTTTTTTAATTTCTTACCTCAAAAACCTCGATTGCTATGGAGTATGGAGATGAGGGAGAGGGAGAAGAAGATTAAGGAGTATGTTCGAATCTGTGCGCGCATCTCTTTGTGGCTCTGGACGAAAAAGGCAGAGATCATGCCACCAATGGTTATGGCATAAACGGGTTGGACTGCACCGAAGATAATCGCAGAGAGGCTTCCCATGACACTATTCTTCCATTCAAGAGAATTCAACAGCAGAAGCTGAGTGAAAGATGGAGGAGGATAAGACACAGGTAACGGATTCTTGACAAGAAACGGTGACAAAAATGAAGCGGGGCTCTTGTTTATACTCAACCGGCCAGCACTACTTCTTGCAACCGATGAAGACATACGGCGTAATTTGGATGTTTGTTCAATATCATCACAGCTAAACTGCCTCTGTAATTTTTCTAGCCTTGCGTAATGACCATTTGTTTTGTTAATGAGCTCATTGTGAGATCCAATTTCAATAATGGAACCTCCATTGACCATTGCGATTTGGTCTGCGTTCTTCACCGTCGAGAGCTTGTGTGCAACCACTTGGTTATTAAATTATTGGTTATTTTTCAGAGAGTAGAAAAGATTAGACGTTGATTTAATATACCGTTCAAACTTAATTAGACAATTGAAATCATCAAATCATATTGACTTTTAATCTCTCTCTCTCTCTCCCTTAGTTGGATTTGGGTGAGCCGGTGTAGTGTTTTTCTGAGAAACCCAGATCTGAGATAACCCCGATGAGAGCCATCGAAGAGATCGACGGTAGCGGAGATCCGAGAGAGAAAAAAAAGGATTGTCTTGTATCTAAAACCAGATATGAGATAACCTCGATGAGAGCCACCAGAGATGTTAACGATAGTAGAGACCTTAAAAGCGGTAGCAGAACCTGAAAAAACAACTTTATGATCTCAAACCTAGAGTAGAAATGGTAGCAGAAGTGAAGATGAGTAGAGAGAGATTGCAAAAGTGGAGAGGAGGAAAATAAGGAAGAGAAGAGAAGGGATAAATGGACAAGGACGAATCAGGTTGCTCATGCCTAAGTAGTGATGGGAAATTCTAGTTTAATCTGAGCACAAGCATGGAGTTGAGGCGGATCCTCTCTGTCCAGCCACGAGCGCAGCGGCGACCTCTGGCTAATCTCACGAAATACCACACCCCCTAGCCTTCCAAATATCAACTCTAAAAAAACCCGTAATGATTGGTTTTTTCGTAAGAAAGAGGACCGAGCTTGGGAATCGCTCTCTCCATCTGTAAGTGAGAGTTGAAGATGGGGAGGACACGAGTTGAGGAATTGCCATTCTCTCTCTTAGTATTTGTTTTTTTTTTTCACACTTTGTGGATCAGACTATGAATTTCAGAGAGTAAGTGTTTCTCTCCCCTTTCTCTGTTTTATTTTAAAAATTTTAAGAAGAAGAAATGGTAAAATAGTCTTTTTCGCCTTTCTGTTAACGGTAAGGGAAGAGTTAGTCAATTGTTAGAAACAGTAAGGGTAGTGTTAGTCAAATTTCAGACAGTAAGGGTACACTTAGTCAATTAGCTAAACCATAAGGATAGTTTAAGAAATTTATCCTAAAATTTTTAAACATAAATGAATACAGAAAATTACAAAAATGTAGAAAAGTAGACAACATTTATGATATTTTTTATTAATCAAATTAAAAAAAATAAGTGTAACAAACAATAATTATTTTTATTGACGATGAAAATGAAATATATAGTCTAAAGCTAACAAAAAAAATGAAATTATTTTCCTATTTGGTAGGGATCAATAGTTCAACTTTTTAGTCAAATCTATCAACCTCGAATGTCATAATTAAATAATAAATATTAATAAAATATAAAAAGTACATAAACTTTACAAAAAAATTTGGGCACATGTATAATATCATATATTTAACATATTAAACAAAAATAAGTGTAAATAATAGTACTATTTTTACACAAATTGAAATAAAAAAATATATAGAAAAAATTGAACACATATATAACTCCACATTTATACTACTATTAAAAATATGAATAAAATTGCGGAACTTTCTTTTGACTAAAATATTCATGCTTTGAATTTAATCCCTATTTAATTGTAAGGTTTAAAATGTAGTTTGAACTACAATTTTCACCTCATTCAATTTCCCTTCTTTAAATCTTATATTTTTTTTTATAAATAAAGAAAAAGTATACAGTAAAAAGATAAAATATTACAAAAAGAAGAGTCCACACAGGCTTGCCAATGATATCCAAAACTTTGTAGCCCAATATGAGGTACTTACATAATCAAATCTAAATTTTGAAGTATGCGTCAAATTAATAGTGAAAAAAAATCATGAATTTTATAAAAAATTTTGAATATATTATTCTATCATTATTATCATATAGAATTACGACATGCACGCTTACTAGTTTTGAATAAAAAAGTCAATGCCCAGCCAAACATTAAAAAAAATGTTTTCCCAAAAAACAAAGCATTTTAAAAAGTGACTTTTTTTAAAACCTGTTTATGCAAAGGTGCGCACCCAAACATAACCTCAGTCTTTGATCATGGGTACTTTATAAATTTGGGCTTGAATACACCTAGCATTTTTTT